ATATTTTTCTTGAGCACCTGTACTAAATTAATGTATTACTGTGAAAGTTGTTTAATTGGAAAGTTGTTTAATCTATTTTTAAAAATACATATTTTATTTCTTTGGGCAGTTTTAGGTTTACAGTGAAATTGAAAAGAAAGCACAGAGAATTCCCTTATAATCCTCCCTTTTATCTCGTAATCTGTTATAATTGCTTATTATTTACAGGAGTTTGTTGGTCAGTACTTTGGGATTTTTCTTTTTTTACATAGATGATCATGTCATGTGCAAACAAGGAGTTTTATTTCTTCCTTACCAATTTGTATACCTTTTATGTCCTTTTCTTGTCTGATTGAATTAGCTAGGATGTCCAGTATGATGCTGAATAGGAGTGGTAAGAAGGGAAATCCTTGCCTTGTTCCTGATCTTTGGGGGAAAGCTTCTGATTTCTCACCATTAGATATGGTGTTTGCTTTAAGTTTTTTTTGTAAATTTTATTTATCAAGTGGAGGAAATCCTCTATTTCTGGTTTGCTGGGAATATTTAATTATTAATTGATGTAGGATTTTATCAAATACTTTAATGCATCTATTGATATGATCTGATTATATGATTTGTTTCTGTTTCCTCGATTGCATTGATTGATTTTCAAATGTTGAACCTACCTTGTATACTTAGAATATACTCTCTACTTGGTTGTGGTGTATAATGTGATTTGCTAAGATTTTTGAGAACATTTGCCTCTGTGTTCATGAAGGATACTGGTCTGTAATTTTCCTTTCTTGTAAGGCTGTTACCTGGGCTTATTATCTGGTTAAAGTTGGCCCCTGAGAATGAGTTAGGAAGTGCTCACTCTGCTTCTACAGATTGTAGAATATTGGTATCATTTGTTCCTTAAATATTCGATAGAATTCATGAGTGAATTATCTGAGTGTGTAGTGCTTCCTATTTTGGAAGGTTATTATTTATTCAGTTTTAAAAAATTGACTTAGTCTTATTCAGATTATCTGTTTCGTCTTGGGGTGAATTTTGGTAGATTGTGTCTTTTAAGGGATTGGTACATTTCACCTAAGTTATCAAATTTAAAAGCATAGAACCAGCTTTGAGTTTTGTTGATTTTCTTTATTTTCCTATTTTCAATTTTGCTGATTTTTGCTCTGATTTTTATTACTTTCTTCTGCTTCCTTTGGATTTAGTTTGTTCATTTTCTAGTTTCCTAAATTAAAAGCTTAGATGATTAATGTTATCTTTCTTTTTTTTTTTTTTAACAAATATATTCAGTACTATAAATTAATCTCTTAGTCCTGCTTTGCTGCATCCCACAATTATTTATTTATTTGTTTATTTTTGAAATGGGGGCTCATTATGTTGCCCAGGCTGGTCTGGAACTCCTAGCCTCAGGTTATTCTCCTGCCTTGGCCTCTCAAAGTTCTGGGATTACATGCATGAGCCACTGCGCCCGGCCATAAATTTTGGTGTTTTATTTTCATGTACACTTAGTTTAAAATAATATAGTTTCTCAAGACTATGTTTTTGTCCTTTGAGTTAATTGTAAGTGAGCTGTTTAAACATCTCCAAATATTTTGAGATTTTTCAGCAATTTTTTTGTTTAACTAGTTTAATTCCACTGTGGTGTGTCTATTTGTATGGTGTGTAGTCTTTTAAACTTGTTAAGGTATATTTTGTAGTCTGTGTTTGTGAAATGTTCCCTGTGGATTTCAGAAGAATGTGTATACTGCTGTTGCTGGATGAAGTGTTCGATAAATGTCAGTTAGATCCAGTTGATTGATGGTGTCATCAGCTCTACGATACTTTCCTGATTTTCTGCTTCTGTCGATTACTGATAGAGGGTTGTTGAAGCTCCAACTATAATAATGAATTCATGTGTTTCTCCTTGTAGTTTCATCAGTTTTTATTATACCTTATGTATTTTGACACTCTTATTAGGTGCATACATATAGAGATAATTATGTCTTCTTGGTGAGTAGTAACAGATTGACCATCTGTTTTTATGTAATGCCCCTCTGTCACTGATAATTTTTCTTGGCCTGAAGCTTGCTCTGTCTGAAATTAATATAGCCATTTCAAGTTTCTTTTAATTAGCTTTAGCATAGCCTATCTTTCTCCATCCTTTTACTTTTAATCTGTCTTTGTCTTTAGAATGGGATTTTTGTAGACATTGTATAGAAGGGTGTTGTCTTTAGATTTATTCTTGACAGCATGTATCTTTTAACTGGTGTATTTAGACCACAATGTTTAAACTAATTATTAATAATAGTTGGATTAATAGCTACAGTATTTATAACTGTTTTCTACTCATTGTCCTTGTTCTTTCTTTTTTTGTATTTCACTCTATTTCTGCCTTCTTCATTTTATTTGAGCATTTTATATGATTTCATTTTATTTAATTAATTAATTAATTAATTTTTTTAGAGACAAGGTTTCACCATGTTGGTCAGGCTGGTCTCAAAGTCGCCACCTCAGGTGATCTGCCCGCCTCAGCCGCCCAAAGTACAGGCGTGAGCGACCGCACCTGGCCTATGATTCCATTTTGTTTCCTGTTTTAGAATATCAATTATACTTACTTAAAATAATTTTTTAGGCTGAGACTGGTGGCACGCCTGTAATCCCAGCACTTTGGGAGGCTGAGGTGGGTGGATCACCTAAGGTCAGGAGTTCCCGACCAGCCTGACCAACATGGTAAAATCCCATCTCTACTAAAAATACAAAAATTAGGCCGGGCGCGGTGGCTCACGTCTGTAATCCCAGCACTTTGGGAGGCCGAGGAGGGTGGATCACGAGATCAAGAGAATCGAGACCATCCTGGTCAACATGGTGAAACCCCGTCTCTACTAAAAATACAAAAAATTAGCTGGGCATGGTGGCGCATGCCTGTAATCCCAGCTACTCAGGAGGCTGAGGCAGGAGAATTGCCTGAGCCCAGGAGGCGGAGATTGCGGTGAGCCAAGATCGCGCCATTGCACTCCAGCCTTGGTAACAAGAGCGAAACTCCGTCTCAAAAAAAAAAAAAAAAAAAGAGAAAAAAAGAAAATACAAAAATTAGCTGGGCATTGGTGGCCCAAGGTTGAGACAAGAGAATTGTTTGAAACTCAGAGATGGAGGTTGCAGTCAGCCGAAATCGCACTACTGCATTCTAGCCTAGGTGACAGAGAGAAACTCTGTCTCAACAAATAAATAAATAATAAAATTACTTTTTAGTAGTTGCCCCAGAGTTTGCAATAATTACACAGTTAAACTAATCTCAGTTCACTTTTTAAATAACACTATACCCCTTCATGTGTAGTGCAAGTACCTTATAACACAGTATTGTCAATTCCTTTTTCCCATTCCTTTTAACATTACTTTTTTTCACTTTTCCATAATTTACGGTCACTAAGTATATTGTTGCTATTATTATTTTGAACAAGTTATTATCTGTTAGATGAAATAAGGATCAGAAAAACAAAAGATTTAATTTTACCTTTATTTTTTTCTCTACCCTCTTTCTTTCTTTTTGTAATACCTATTTCTGATCTACATTGTTTTCCTTCTTTCTGAATAACTTCTGTTAACATTTCTTGCAAGATGTGTCTGTTGGGTTTCATTTCTCCCAGTTTTTATTTGAGAAAGTCTTCATTTCTTCTTTTGAAGGGTGATTTTACAGGGATTCTACAGGAATTCTAGTTTTTTTTTTTTTTTTCAGTCTAGCTGGTTATGTTATGCTATGCTATGCTATGTTATGTTTGTTTGTTATGTTATGTTATGTTATGTTATGTTATGTTATGTTATGTTAAGTTATGTTATGTTATGTTATGTTATTTTTGAGACCGAGTTCACTTTGGCACCCATACTAGAGTGCAGTGGTGTGATCTCGGCTCACTGCAGTCTCCGTCTCCTGGGTTTAAGTGATCCTCCTGCCTCAGGCTCCTGAGTAGCTGGGACTACAGGTGTGTGCCACCATGCCTGGCTGTTTTTGTAATTTTTAGTAGAGATGGGGTTTGACCATATTGATCAGGCTGATCTCTAACTCCTGACCTCATGATCTCCCTGCCTTGGACTCTGGGATTATAGGCTGGGATAATAGGCATGAGCCACTGTGCCTGGCTACTTCAGAAGTCTTTTGTTTATTTATTTTTTAAACACCTCTTATGCTATGAATTCAAAAGAGTAGGTTCCAGCAGCCCAGGCTCCTTCCCATTGGTTCTCACAAAGTGTGCTTATCTGGGTGGAGCAGGCTAGTGCTTCAGTTGAACCCAGGAACCTTTGTCTTTAGCTTCTTTCTTTTTCTGATCATTTTCCTTTACATGTTTCAGGAAGCTATCTTGGCTCTTGGCTCTTAGAGTGCTTAATGTGCTCAATACGCACATTAATTCTCTTGGCAAGAATCTTGCCTTTAACTTGTTTGTTTATGACAGTGCCAACAGCCTGCTGGGTAACATTGTAGACTCTTCCAGTTTTTCCATGGTAACACATGTGGGGCATTCCTTTTTGAACAGTATCCATTCCCTTGGTGTCTACAATATCACCTTTCTTATAGATTTGCATATACCTGGCCAAAGGAACAACTCCATGTTTACTAAAAGGCCTAGAGAATATATATCAAGTGCCTTTCCTCTTTTCCGTTGTGTTCGTCATTTTGGTGAATTACTGGAAGATGGCAGTTCCAACCGAAAGGATTTATTTTTTTTAAACACTAAATATTTCACTTCACTCTTTGCTTGCATGGTTTCTGAAGACAAAGTTTGATCCAATTCTTTGTTTCTCTGTGGATAAGAAGTTTTTTGTGTGTGTTGATTTTTTTTCTTTACTTCTTGTGTCTTTTGAGATATCTTACTGGTCTTTTTTTTTTTTTGAGACGGAGTTTCGCTCGTTACCCAGGCTGGAGTGCAATGGTGCGATCTCGGCTTACTGCAGCCTCCACCTCCTGGGTTCAAGCAATTCTCCTGCCTCAGCCTCCTGAGTAGCTGGGATTACAGACATGAGCCACCATGCCCAGCTAATTTTTTGTATTTTTAATGCAGACAGGGTTTCACCACGTTGACCAGGATGGTCTCGATCTCTTGACCTCGTGATCCACCCACCTCGGCCTCCCAAAACTGGTCTTAGTAAGTAAAAGATTAAAGTTTTTCTTTTTATTTAGTTTTCTCTTTGTCTGATTTTCTGCAGTTTTGCTATCATTTGTCTATATGTAAATATTTTGGTATTTATCTTGCTAGGTGTTCTCTGAACTTCTTGGTTTGGTGTCACTAAAGACATTCTTTCCTGTTACAGTATTATTGATTTGTATACTCCTCTTCCTCACCTCCCCCCTTCACTATTTTTTTGCTTCTCTTTCCTCTTCCTTTCTTTCCACAGGGTGTCACTCTGTCACCTTGGCTGGAATGCAGTAGAAGCATGATCATAACTCACTACAGCCTTGAACTCCTGAGTTCAAGTGATCCTCCCTCCTCAGCCTCTCCAGTAGCTAGGACTACAGGTGTGTGCCACTGTGCCTAGCTAATTAAAAAAAAATGTAGAGACAGGATCTCCAATGTTGCCCAGGCTGGTCTTAAAAAAAAGAACTTAGCTGGGCATGGTGGCATGAACCTGTAGTCCTACCTGTTTGGGAAGCTGTGGCAGGAATATCGCTTGTGCCTTGGAGTTCAAGGCTACAGTGAGCTGTGGATCACCACTACACTCCAGACTGGGTAACAGTGAGACTCTGTCTCAAAACATATTAAAAAAATGTTTAAATTCCTGGGTAATTTAATAATTCCTGGTAAAAATTCCTCCCACATCTGAGTCTGTTTTCAAGGCTTGTTTTGTTTCTTCAGATTGTATTTTTTGCCTTTACAGTGCCTCATAATTTTTTTTCATAGCCAATCAGAATGTATCAGGTAAAAGGAACTGAGGTAAATAGGCCTTTAGGGTGAGGTTTTATGTTTATCTGTTTAGAAGTCAGGCCGTGTTTACTCTGGCTGTGGTATCAGAAGCAAATATTATAGGATATTTAGGGTGTTGCTTTTCTGGCTAGAAACCTCTGTGACCGCTAGCACCTTTGCCCTAGTTCTTGTCCTATGTCCAGGAAGAATGAAGTATGTAGAGAAGTGGAGGGTGAGCAAGACAAAGACAAACTTTATTGAGTGTTAGAACAGCTCAGAGGAGACCTGCAGGGGGCAGCCCCTCTCTGTAGGCAGGTCATCTCATCCAGTGTTCAGCTCTCAGCAGAGAGGAGGCCCTGGAGTGAGTGTCTCCTCTTTTAGGCAGGTTCCCACTGATTTCCCAGCTCTCAGCTGAGAGGATACCTTCTCTCTGCAGCTGGTCATCTGGCTATCTAGCTGTCCTTTCCCCTGCTGTGGCTGATCCTGGGGCTTTTATGGACCTCAGAGGGGAGGAGGTATGTGCCAGTTGATACATTGGTGGCCATGGGTGGGCTGGAAAAAGGCACCACAAGTCTCCATTCCAGTCTGTGGGTCTGGCAGCCCGGCCCCCAACCTTCAAGCGCTCCCTGGCCTGAAGGTGGGGTCTTACGGGTGACCTTCCCCCTTCTATCCAGGAGCCTCTCTGCCTCCTGCCACCTTCCATGGCACCCAGGCTGCTTGTGCCTGGCACCTGCAGGCCAGCGTGGAGTGGCATGCCTACCTCAGCTTCCCCAGAGGGGAGGAGTCAGGGCCTGAGCATGCATATACCCTGCTGGGCTGTGATGGTGTCTAGGCTTGGCTCCAACCCTGCTCTAGAGGACCTCCCAGATTAGAGCTGATGCGGGAAGTGGCAGCAGGAACTGGCAGTGGGAACAGGCATTTCCGAGTCTGCCAGGGCCAGGGGAGCCTTCCTGAGCCCCCAAGAGCACACGGAAGTCTGGGTCCATAACCTTGACTTGGGTAGCTACAGCTACATGGGGTGGGAGAACAGGGCTCCTGCCTGTCCCCAAGACCACATGGAAGCCTGGGTCTACCACCCAGGCTTAGGTGTCTTGGGCTGCTGCCTGTTCCTGGCTCTTACTGGCACTGTGGAGCATGAAGCCCTGGCTGTGCCCCCCTTCAGCCTGGGGCAGGGACTGCAGATCCTTGCTGGGCCTGGGCTGGCGTCCGGGGCAGGGGTGACATCGCCAGGGGCCACCCCAGTAGCCCTGGCACTCAGGGGTGGCCTGAGCAGAGCAGATCACTGTGTGATATGACTGTTGGGAGTGGCAGGCTCAGCAGTTGCCTGATGTGGGGTGAACCCTGGGGACGTGGCCCCAGGTGGCCCTGTGCAGAGCCTCCTCCTGAGGCCCAGGAACCTGGCACCCTCAGCAAGGTGAGTGCAGTGGCTGTGTCACTGGCCAGTCCCTGAAGTGGGCACTGCTGCCACTTCCTGCCTTAGGTCCCTGAGCTCAGCCTCAGCTCTGCATCGGGCCCCTCTCTGCCTAACTGTGCTGCACTGAGGGCAGCAGGCTGTTGGAGGAGAGGAGGGGGCTGTCTGCTTTCTCCCTGTACAGAAAGCCACCACTGTACAGAAATCCACCACTATCACTATCAGAGGCTAAAATGTCTTCTAGTGTCTTTGCTTTTATCTGCCCTGTTGTCTTTGGGTTTTTGTAAAGAATTCTTAAATGGAGTCTGAGGCTTGCAGGTTTTTAAGTTGTAATCTTGTGTTGTACAAGAGCTGTATTGATGTGGTGGTAAAGGTAGAGGGATGCGAGTGAAAGTTCTGTAGTCCTGTAATTAGATTTCAGGACTATAGAACTAAGGGCTATAGAACTTTCCCCCTCATCCCTCTGCCCTCTACCAACTGTGAGCCTGAGTTAGATACCTAACTCTTTTTCCCTGTCAAAGGATAGATGGGGCTGGAGTTCTGTATTTCCCTTCCCTTAGGTTGGTTAGGCACTGTAAAACCCTAGTAGGTTAGGCAGTCTAAAAGCCCAGTTGGTTAGGTTCTGGTAAAATAGTTTTGTTTTCTGGAATGTCTTTTAAGAGAAACAGAAAGCCCTTGGCATATTCCAAAATGGTTTCTTCTAACCCTGCTGCAAGCAGGAGGGGATTTTTTACAGATCTTTACCATGAGAGCCTGGTAGGGCTCCTGTAGGTAAAACTCAAGAAGGTATAGGGACCCCTCTAAGACTGGTCCCCTTGCAGTACGTAGCCACTTCTGCTACGTACTGATGATGCTGAGAACTTTGGATTTATGGAACCAATTAATTTGATGAGTCATTTACATGGAATTTCTTAATTAGTGGATTGCCCACTAATTATTTTTATGAGCAGAGAATAAGGTAATGTTAATTCTTTTTGTGATATGGTAAAAACTTAGTTCATATAATGAATTTAGTGCTCAAATATTTTAGTAGAAATTGAAATAGAAAAGAAAGATTGTGGTAAATTAAATGTAAAATATAATTTTATTTTCTTTAGAAAACTTCACGTTGAAAAGATCACCACATTATAGATAATTTAGACAGCTTATTTGTTAATAACTTTTATTATTATTGAATGTAAAAGAGTTACACTCAGTTTCATGAACTTAACATAACTGCGGTTATCATGTTGGTATATGTCCCTTTTAGTCCTTTTTCATATACAGATTTTTTTTTTTTTACAAAGTTGTGATAATAATTTCTTTTCTAATGGTGCCTTTCTTTTTTCAGTTAATAGTGTAAATGTTTCCCATTTCTAACAATGTTTTCTTATTAAGTGTGTTACTGTTAGCTTGGTCAGACTGAGTTTATTGTGCATATTGCTGTAGTGAACATCTTTGTGCCTTTAGCTTTTCCATATTTGTACCATATCTATGGCTGGGTTTTCAGAAGTCTTGTCTCTTTCTCTCTCTCTCTCTCTCTCTCTCTTTTTGCCTGTCTTTTTTCTTTCCTTCATTTGGGGAGGATTTTGTGTTCTCTTTTACAGGACTAATTAACTTTTATTGGATCTTGAAAAATGGGATTAAAAATGTTTTTGTCAGTGGCGCACGCCTGTAATCCCAGCACTTGGGGAGGCCAAGGCGGGTGGATCACGAGGTCAAGAGATTGAGACCATCCTGGTCAACATGGTGAAACCCCGTCTCTACTAAAAATACAAAAAATTAGCCGGGCATGGTGGCACGTGCCTGTAATCCCAGCTACTCAGGAGGCTGAGGCAGGAGAATTGCCTGAACCCAGGAGGCGGAGGTTGCGGTGAGCCAAGATCGCGCCATTGCACTCCAGTCTGGGTAACAAGAGCGAAACTCTGCCTCAAAAAAAAAAAAAAAAAGTTTTTGTTACTTACGTAATTTGAAAAAAAAATGCTTTTGGACTTACATTGCCACAATGGTTTACACAACTTTATTCCAAAAAATTGTAGTTTTGTGACTAGCTGATAAAAATGCTCTCCTATATATATGCCAAACTTGGTATTCTAGACTCTCATACTTAGGATGTAAAGTGACTATAGTCCAATAATTTAATATCTCATGTTTAATTCTTGTAATATTTTACTCACAAATTGAACTTTTCCAATTTAATGTTTATGTACTTAATTTGGTATCTTTGGTAGGATTACGTATTAGATTTCTTTTCATTCTTCTGACTTCTCCCTAAACTAATGTTTCAAGCTGAAATGGGTCTAGCAGTTTAAGTAGGAAAATCAGTATGAGTAGAGACTTCTAGAAACTTCTGTTGTCACTGAGATGCTGAATTTGATGATTCTGACCCTACTTGCTCATCTGTAAAAGCTATTAGAGGATTATTTTAAGAGTTCCTATTCTATACAGGTATATATACACCACATAATATCACTCAGCCATAAAAAAAAATGAAATGATGTTTTTTTGCAGCAGTTTGGATGGAGCTGGAGGCCATTATTCTAAGTGAGGTATCTCAGGAATGGAAAACCAAATACCATATGTTCTTACAAGTGGGAGCTAAGCCATGGGCATACAGAGTAGTGACATAGAGTTTGGAGCTTCTGAAGCAGGGAGGATAGTAAGAGGGTGGTGAGGGGAAAAAAAAATGATATTGGGTACAGTGTACACTAGTTGGGTGATGGGTGTAGTAAAATCTCAGACTTCACTACTATACAGTTCATCCATGTAACCCAAAACCACTTGTACTCCAAAAGCTACTGAAATAAAAAAGATGTTTAAAAAGAGGGCCAGGTACGGCGGCTCACGTCTATAATCCCAGTACTTTGGGAGGCCAGGGCAGGCGGATCCCGAGGTCAAGAGATCAAGACCATCTTGGCCAACATGGTGAAACCCTGTCTCCACTAAAAATACAAAAATTAGCTGGGCATGGTGGTGCACACCTGTAGTCCCAGCTACTCAGGAGACTGAGGCAGGAGAATTGCTCAAATCAGGAGAAGGAGGTTTCAGTGAGCCAAGATGGTGCCACCGCACTCCAGCCTGGCGACAGAGAGAGACTCCGTCTTTAAAAAAAGAGGCAGGAGGCAGAGTGGCTAATGCCTGTAATCCCAGCACTTTGGAAGGCTGAGATGGGCAGATCCCTTGAGTCCAGGAGTTCGAGACCAGCCTGACCAACATGGTGAAGTCCCATCTCTACTTAAAATAAGAAAAAATTAGCTGGGTATTGTGACTTAGCACCTGTAATCCCAGCTACTTGGGAGGCTGAGGTGGGAGAATTGCTTGAATCTGGGAGGCAGAGGTTGCAGTGAGCCTAGATTGTGCCACTGTACTCCAGCCTGGGTGAAAGAGCAAAACTCTGTCTCAAAAAAAAAAAAATTATAAAAAGAGTTTCTGTTGTACATAATCTTTTAGCCTTATTATTTCTTAGGGATTTTATAAATACATGTAGCTTTTTTACTCTTGTCATCTTCAAGTTATTTGCCAAGATTGAAAAATAGCCATCTTTCTTCTAATACCCTGGTGAGCCTGAAAGAAGAAAATGTTACACAGTTCATTTTATTGTAAAAGTAGTAAAATTTCTCAACTGATATTCATTCTTGGTTTTTGTGGATTTGTTCAGGGAAGATAGAATTTATTTTTATTTTTAATTTTTTAGTAGAGATGAAGTTTTGTTGTGTTGCCAGGCTGGTCTGGAACTTCTGAGCTCAAGCAATGCTGCCTTGGCATTCCAAAGTGTCGGCATTATAGGCATGAGCCACTGCACCTGGCTGGAAGACAGGATTACTTAACAAGTAAATATCACTTAAGAATATACTGGTATGGAATCTGAAGTTGTGTATACCAGGATGTTCACATATTCTTTGTATCTTGTTCCCAGTCTTTCCCGCAATCTTGTCTCACCTTTTCCCCAATAAGTTTAGTTAACAACTACTACGAAATTTGGAATACAGAGTGATAACAACCCTACCTTTAGGAAGCTGATAATTTAGAAGGCAAAGTAGAAATATAAGTTAATAATTACAGTGCAGGAAGTCCCTTAATTTCCTCTATAATAACATGTCTCCCAAAATGTGATTGAAAATAAAAATTCGACGTGTCATAGGCGTAGGAGGTATTTGGGTGTTTGTATGGCGAGTCATTTCATAGAGCTAAAATTTATTATTATGAAATATTCAGTTCTAGTTCCTGGACGTGTTACCTCCTTTGGAACCAGAAATCGTAGTTGCTGCATAACATTAAAAGCATCAGGATGATGCTTGTAATCCCAGCACTTTGGGAGGCAGAGGCAGAGGATTGCTTGAAGCCAAGAGTTCGAGACCAGCCTAGGCAACATAGTGAGACCCTATTTCTATCAAAAAAAATTTTTTAAATTAGCCAGGCATGGTGGTGTGTGCATATAGTCCTGGGTATTTAGGAGGCAGAGGCAGAGGACTGCTTGAACTGAAGTGTTTGAGGTTGCAGTGAGCTATGGTAGAACCACTGTACTCCAGCCTGGGCAACAGATTCAGACCCTGTCTTGTGGGGGGGAAAAAAAGTGTAAGGATGGGATTTCTAGGCATTTTTAGGGCTGAGCAAATCAATCTTGGGTCCAACCTCCTTGTGGGAGGTGGGTGGCAGCCTCTGGAATTTGAGCCCTGCTACTGGGATTGTAGGTATAGGAACTTGACAGGGGAAGAGTCTTTCTCACTGTGTTGGTAGTAAGAGCTTGGTGCTTAATGGGTGCCTTTCACTAATTAGATCACCTAGGATTTCTGCTCAGAACCCAGCAATACTTGTAGGCCTTCACTGTTCCAAGAGAGAAATCAGGGACTTCTGGTGATAAGTCAAGGATAAGAGATAAGAAAACACCTATACTTTAGGATATTAGAACTACAACTCCATTTTCTCCTTCACCCTCACCTTTTTCCACCTCCCAGCTTCCAAGTATATGTGATTAAGGCTTTGTCCAGAGCAGGACTGGAGAATGGGGTAGGAAGAATTACTTTTTTTCATCATAGGTCAGGGTAGTGTCAGCTCCCCCTAAACTACAGGGAGGCCTGGCTTCATACCTCTTCTCCCAATTTCCTATCATTGTGAAATAACAGAGCTTCATGCAGTAACTCAAAGTTATTGTTAATAAGGTGATATGTAAAAGATTGAATTTGGTGTTCTGAAGTTAGTGTGAGGATATCAGTCTGTTAATGTGTGAAATATTTTGAGCTGTGTGAAACTCAATTTTGCTTAGTGTAGTAAGTGCAACTAAAGTACGTGTAAAACTCAATAGTAGCACACAGGAAGGAGTAATGAATTGTGTCTAGAGAGTCAGGAAAGATCTCACAAAGGAGAGAGGATCCTTGAGTTCTTTGTTAAAGTGGTAGATTTAAAGAAGCTTGCCCGCTCATTCATTCATTCATTCATTCATTCATTCATTCATTCATAGATGGGGTTTTGCTGTAGGTCTCCCAGGCTGGAGTTTAGTGGTGCTATCATAGCTCACTGCAATCTCTAACTTCTGGGCTCAAGCATAGTTGAAGTCTCTGCCCAATAATACTGATCTCTTGGAACCTCACTCATTTCAGAAATGGCTCTGGTCCGAATACATAATATGGGACTAAGCTTTTCTAAATATCTTTATGCCTTAATTCTTTATGCATAAACTTTAGCAACTTCTAAGCTACCATTAGTAAATTTTCACTATAAATTATATACTTGATGATTGAATTTTTAGACTTAGATTTATTCCAGATATAAGTCAACCTAAATACAAAGTTTTTCTCTACTTAAATGTAAGCATTTTTGGCACTCTTGAAGATTCTGAGTACTTTTCTGGGCAGTTAGGCCATCGGAATGTTTGTATGAATTCTGGAATTGCCCTAGAGAGCATAAGCTATGGAATAAAGCAGGCGTATGGTCTGACTCAGTCACTTAAGATCTGTGCATCCTTGGATAGTAACTTCGATGCTGATTTTCCATATCTGTAAAATATGGGTAAAGAGTGAAGAGTCTTTAGCACGGTACCTGGCATGAAGTAATGGCTCAATAAATGTTAATTATTACTATTGTTAACTAAATAAGCATTCTCTAGGTCTCTGGATTGAAACATATAGATGTTGGAGACTGAATACCTTGAGGCCATCTTGCGCTAAGACTAGATGCTCAGGAGCACTTTTTTGATTAGTCATTTATTCATTGAGCATATATTTTTTTATTGTTTTAACTTTAGCAAGATACTCAAGTCAGTCAATTTTATTTCTATACATATATTTCTATGTAGAGATTTCCTATAGGATGACCTATTCTGGGTATGTCTTTCTGACCTGCAGCTAATCAAGTTAACTACAGCTTTACTATTTTTTTTTTAAACCATAATAATGTAATACAGTAGCACAGAGGAAATAGGCTGTTGGTCGACTTCTAAATTCTCGCATGGGTTAGATTTGCCCAAAAGCAAATCATACAGTAAGAATTGATGAGAGAACTTTTCTCATAACTCCTAGCCAGGTAAGTTTGTTTCACTTGGTATAAGTCAGAGGAATCTGAACTATAGAACCAAATTGTAGGGAAAGGTGACTCAGGGTTCTTGATGTCTTTTTGTCTTTCCCTCAGGGGAGTTCTAGATGTAAAAAGCATCATATTTTAAAAGTTATCAGTCATCAGTGAAGGCAGCAGAAAAGTCAGACACTAATATAGGCAAGTCTAGATTATATCTGTTATAATCTTTTTTGATCAGAAGATTCTAGATTCTAGAACCAGGTCTGTAAAATGTTGAGAGGCTGCTAAGTAAACACCATTATAGTCATATAATTGATTTTTCTTTGTCTTTCTTCTTGGACATACTCTTCTTTATAAAGAGAGTACTCCCTCCTCCACCCCAGATAGTATCTATCTTGAAGTTTTGAGAACAATAGTATTCTTGTGCTTTAGGTTCTGTGTTGCTGACTTGAGGGAATTTGATACGCAATAGTCCTGCAGGCCCCCTAGTAGATACCTGAAACCATGGATAGTACTGAGCCCTGTACATACAAGTCAGGCATCCCAAATCCAAAATCCAAAATGTTCCAAAATATGAAACCGACATGACACTCAAACACTCATTGGAGCATTTTAGATTTGTGGATTTGAGATGCTCAACTAGTAAGTATAACACAAATATCCCAAATTCCCTATTCCCATTAATTTTTACTTGATATTCTGAATTCTTAAGTGGGACTTTTTTCTAATTTGGGGATAGCTCCGATTTTTATGAAAGAAATTAATAGGAAATTTTGAGATGGTAATAGAAATTGTCTTTGTAGTGTTAAACTTTTAGTTGGGAGGCTATTAGGCTGGGGTCTCTATAGCTGTTTAAATACCTGTCTAAGCAATCCAAAGCCTAACTTAAAAAGTAAAAGGAAACTAGGTATTTTGCCATCTAGAAACCACCCAACTAATCTCTAACAAGTGTCTTTCTACTCTAATCAATGAGATATGTTTTCTTTGTCTTCCTTTTTTGTTCAGCCCATAAAGCTTGCAGCCCACACTGCTGCGAATGAAACTCTTCAAACCTCTTAGAGTTCAGAGTGCTACCTGATTGATGAATCATTCTTTGCCCAGATAACTCTTTTATTTTGTCTGTTTTTGCTTTAAACAACAAAGGAACATAAATTCTGTTAATTGAGCTTCTGAATGTAACAGTGAAAATTCCCTTTAAGGCTTTGATTATCAGTATTTTAGGAATATAGATCTTTTTAAAACATTAGCTTTTAATGTGTTTTGGTTAAACATGATGATTTATGTGTCATTATAGTGCCACACTCACAAAAGTTGCTAACTAAATGTTAGTTCCTTCAATACATATATTCATTCACTGGGACATGGTTCCAAAAATAGATGATCATAAGAATTCTCTGGGAGCTTTTAAAAACTACAGATGTCTATGGCATATATTAATACATGGCATCTATAGTAATACATGTATGTAAATGTATGCAAACAATTTTATTTATTTTTTCCTTAACATTAACTCCTTCAGATAGAATGTTTGGCTCAAATGATTTAATTTTTTTTGAGGTTGTTGATTCACAGAAACAAATCCCCTTCAGAAAGATTGTACTAGTTTACACAATTACCTTTAACACAGGGTATTCTTGAGCTTTTAATATTTCTCAGTTAGTGGAAAGGATCTCTTAGTTTGTTGGGGTCTCTTTGATTTATGAGAGGGATTTAGCATTTTCTATAATTCATTGATATCTACATTTCTTCCTCCCTCCCTCCTTTTCTTCTTTCCTTTCTCCTTCTCCTACTTCTACTCACTGCCCCCTACTATCTTCCCTTTCCCGTGCTCCCCCTCCTTCTTCCCCTTCTATCCCTCTCCCCTCCTGTTTTTCCTTCTTTACTTGTTTTTGATCTATGTTCTTTCACATATGGAGATTCTGTTTTGGCCAGCAATACGTTGAATCATGAGGCTAGAAGATGAGGACTAAAAACAGGAATTGGTGTCCAGAAAGGTGGGGTAGTTTTGATTGCTGTGCCTGTTGCAAATATGAGCAAGATGTTAAATGTATACTAGATCTGTGAGATTTTTTTATACCTATTTTTATTATCTCATTAATGGTATCTTTGAAAAATGGTTCTTTTCAGTTTGGGATTGGGGGAATTGGATTTAAAATTTTTTTATATGAAGAAACCAAATATTTTGCTACTATCATTTGGAAACCTCTTGTTATAATTGGTTGTGGGTAGTATTGGAATCAGTTTGAAACATGCCATTAATGACCACTTGTTTTCATTTGTTGACTATGGGTAAATGTGATTAGAACAGAAACCCCTTAATAATAGGAATTTTTTATCGTTGTGTCCCTAGTGCCTCATAGTATCTGGCCCTGATTAGGGGTTTTAGAAGTGCTTAATGACTGTGATGGCTTTTTTTTAATCTGAATCCGCCTTTTCTATCCCATCTATCCCTCTCCCCTCCTGTTAGGATAACATTCATCTTGAGAGTGGTAAAACTATTGCAGACTGCAGAAATGAACTATGATTTTTTTTTTTTTTTTTTTTTTTTTTTTTTTTTTGAGGCAGGGTCTCTCTCTGTCACCCAGGCTGAAGTGCAGTGCATGATCATATTAATAGCTTATTGTAACCTTGACCTCCCCAGGCTCAGGTGATGCTTCCACCTCAGCTGCCAGAGTAGCTGGGACTACAGGCACACTCCATCATGCCCAGCTAATTTTTGAATTTTTGTAGAGACAGGGTTTCATCATGTTGCCCAGGCTTGTTTCAGTCTCCTGGGCTCAAGGGATCTGCCTGTCTTGGCCACTGTGCCTGGCCCAAATATCTTTTTTCAGACACCACTTTTGATTCTTTTGGATATGTATCCAGAAGTGGAATTGCTGGTGTCATATTGTTAATTCCTTTTTTTTTGAGATGGAGATTCACTCTGTCACCTGGGCTGGAGTGCAGTCGTGCTATCTCCTGGGTTCAAGTAATTCTCCTACCTCAGCCTTCCAAGTAGCTAGGATTACGGACTTGTGCCACCACACTGGCTAATTTTTTCTATATTTTTAGTAGAGATGGGGTTTCACCATGTTGGCCAGGCTGGTCTTGAACTACAGACCTCAAGTGATCTGCCTGCCTTGGCCTCCCAAAGTGCTAGGATTATAGGTGTGAGCCATCGTGCCCAGCCTCTGTAATTCTTTTTTTCATTTTTTGAGGAAACAGCATACTGTTTTCCACAGTGGCTACACCGTTTTACATTCCCACCAGCACCACACAGGGTTCTGATTTCAGCACATTCTTACCAACACTTATTTTCCTTTTTTTTTTTTTAAATAATAATCATCTTAATGGGTGTGAAGTGGTATCTCATTGTGGTTTTGATTTGCATTTTTGAAATGATTAGAGATGTTGAGCACCTTTTCTTATGCTTATTGTTCATTTGCATATTTTCTTTGGAGAAATGCCTATTTAAGTCCTTTGCCCATTTTGAATTAGATTTTGTTGTTGTTTAGATTTAGGGATACTTTTAAAAGATACTAATCACATGAACTCTGTTTTAAGTGATTTATAATTCTGTAATGTATACTTTTTTTTCTGATAGACTTCTATATAGTTTGTGTTCTGGCAGGTCAGTGCCGTGTGATTTTTTAAAAATAGTTTTGCCTGAGGTATGATTGGCATACAAAATACTGCACACAATATGAAATGAGCAATTTGATTAGTTTTGACATATGTATACATTTGTGAATCCATCACCGCAATTAAGATAGTAAACACTCATTACCTCCACAGATTTCTTCTTCCCCCCTTGTAATCTTTTCCCCCACTACTTCCTATCCTTCCCTGCCTTCAGGAAAATCCCAAATTGCTTTCTATTATCATAAATTTTCTAAGGTTTTTTTTCTTTTTTAAATGGTGAAAAGATATACATATATTTAGAATTAGCCAGCTGGACTGTATAGATGATCCCAATTTTGTTGGCAACATCCAAAGCATCGTAATCAGGGGCCAGTCGAACATATGCCTTCTTCTCTCCATCAGGCCAAATCAGGGTGTTGACCTTGGCCACATCAATGTCATAGAGCTTCTTCACAGCCTGTTTGATGTGGTGCTTGTTGGCTTTAACATCCACAATGAACACAAGTGTGTTGTTGTCTTCTGTCTTCTTCATGGCAGACTCAGTGGTCAGTGGAAACTTGATGATAGCATAGTGGTCAAGTTTGTTTCTCCTGGGGGCGCTCTTCCGAGGATATTTGGGCTGCCTCCAGAGTCGCAGTGTCTTGGGCCGCCAGAAGATGGGTGACGTGCGGATCTTCTTTTTTGTGTGGCTGTGGACACCTTTCAACACTGCCTTCTTGGCCTTTAAAGCCTTCACTCTGGCTTCGGCTTTAGGAGGGGCAGGAGCTTCCTTCTTCGCTTTTGGCGCCGTCTTGTGAAAAGGGCCCAAGTTTGTTTTTTTTTTCTGGGAATTATGGTATATACTTTTGGGCAGTGGCTATTTCTCTGTTTATTTACCATTTGTATATTTTCTTTGGTATAAAATGTCTGTTTAAATATTTTGCCCATTATTATTTAAATTGGGTTGGTGGTTTTCTTATTGAGTTCTGAGAGTTGTGTATATTCTTGATCAAAGTTGTTTATAAGATACATGCTTAGCCGGGCGCAGTGGCTCATGCCTGTAATCCCAGCACTTTGGGAGACCGAGGCGGGCAGATCATGAGGTCAAGAGATCGAGACCGTCCTGGGCAACATGGTGAAACCCCGTCTCTACTAAAAATACAAAAATTAGCTGGGTGTGGTGGCGGGTGCCTGTAGTCCCAGCTATTTGAGAGGCTGAGGCAGGAGAATTGCTTGAACCTGGGAGGCGGAGGTTGCAGTGAGCCGAGATTGTGCCACTGCACTCCAGCCTGGCGCCTGGCAACAGAGCAAGACTCTGTCTCAAAAAAAAAAAAAAAAAGATAACTGCTTTGCAGATGTATTTTTCCTGGACTGTTGCTTATCTTTTCTTTCTCTTAAGCGTATCTTTTGAAGAGCACACATTTTTCATTTTGATGAAGTCCAGGTTATCAGTTTGTCTTATATAGATTGTGATTTTGCTTATGCATCTAAGATGTATTTGCCTAATCCAAGGGCATAGAAGTTCTCTCCAGGAAGTTTTATGATTTTTGTGTTTAGACCTATGATGCATTTTCAGTTAATTTTTTAAATATGGGATAAAAGTTGGATAGAAATTCTTTTTTTGACGGGTAGGGACATGCGATTTTTTCAGCATCATTTATTGAAATGGTTTGTCCTTTTGACTCGTGTCAAAAATCATTTGATAGTATATGCTTGGGTTTATTTTGTTCCACTCATCTTTTTGTCTTTCTTTATTTTTGTCCCTCATACCAGCTCAATTTTAATTTTCAAGTGACAAATATACAGGTGGAATAAAATGTTAAGCAACACCCTCCAAATTCCTCTTACATGACAAGAAGGAGCTGAATGTACTTTTGCTCTATAACCAACTAAACCAGGATAGACATAAAACCAATTTTTCCAACTAATCCTATATGAAAATCAATTTATAAATGGACCACAACTCCAGGGTGTTGTTTCTTTGCTGTGATTTCATTCTTTCTTGATGTTACTATCATGCTGACTACTACAGCTTTATAAGTCATTAAATCAGGTCATATTAACCTGTACAACTTCTTGTTCCTTTTCCAAGCAATTTTGGTTGTTGTACTAGTTACCAATCTGTTGCCTCTCAGCTCCAAATGCATCCTTTTTGCCTGCTCTGTGAAAATAGATCAGGCCCTTTAAATATTTTTCTTTGGTCAGCTGACAGTGTTAAGCTTTGCCAGTAGAGAGTGCTGGAGAAACACTGCAGAAAAAAGCTTGGCTTCTTTGTTTCTGTATACTTGCTTAGTGGACTGTAGCAACACACTCAGCTTCTCTAGTGTCAACACACATTTGCTTCCCCACTCTACACTTTCTGTAGGGCGCATGTTTTCACCATTACCAGGCTTCTGCAGTGCTCAGAGGGCAGCGGAACCAGCAACCAGTGATCCAAGACCAGCAACTTCTTCTTTTACTTTCCCCTCAGGTGGATTTGTAACAGTGTCTTTTGGTGGGACATTTCTGTGTGAAGAGATTTTACTAGCACCCTAAAGAATGGATTTCTGGCAAGCTCCACAAGGTAGATTTCCAGTAAGTTCTCCTGGTGCAGCACTAGAGCAAGTTCTCTGCTATTCAGTGAGAGGACTATGTTCTCTCCAGCAAGGTCTGGATCCTCAGCCCTGGGATGGGTTGGAGGAAGCTCTTGCCTTGGTGATCTATGTCAGCCTAGGGAGCATGGGCTACTCTTAGAGTTCTCATTATTTCTCATTAGTTAATTGGCTGTTTCTCCAACCCCATGTTAAATAGTTGTTAATGATCCTTTTTATTAAGCTTTCACTTTTCAAGTTACTATGTAGCTTTTCTCTCCTGAATGGTTTTACATTTCCATATGACTTTTAGAAACAATTTGTAAATATTTGATTGGAATTGCATTGAATCTATAGATGAATCTGAGGGAGAATTGACACCTTAAAAATAATGAGTCTTCTGACTTATGAATAAGATGTCTTCATTAATTTGAATGTTTAATTTCTTTCAGCATTATGTTATTGGTTTCAATGTACTGATTTTACTCATATTTTATTATGTTTATCCTTAAGTATTTTGTATTTTTTGATGCTTTTGTAAATATTTTAATAACATATCAACTTTTTTTTTTTTGAGACAGAGGCTTGCTCTGTCACCCAGGCTGGAGTGCAGTAGCATGATACCAGTTCATTGCAACCTTCATCTCCTGGGTTCAAGTGATTCTCCTGCCTCAGCCTCCCGAGCTGAGATTACAGGTGCATGCTACCATGCCGGGCTAATTTTTGTATTTTTAATAGAGACAGGATTTTACCATGTTGGCCAAGCTGATCTCAAACGCCTTATCTCAAGCGATCTGCCCTCCTTGGCCTCCCAGAGTGCTGGGATTACAGGCTTGAGCCACCACACACAGCCAATAACATAGTTTTTAATTGTTCATTACTAATATATAAGAATGCAGTTGATTTTTATATAGTGGCATTGTATCCTGAAACTCTGCTGTACTCATTTTGGTAGCTTCTTTTGTAGATGACATTGGCTTTTCTGCATAAACAAGCATGTCTTTTGTGGATAAAGAGAGCTTTATACTTCCATTCTAATAAAAAAAGACAATCCTTTTATTTCTTTTTCTTGCCTGACTTCACTGGCTAAAACCTCTCGTATAATGTTGAATAGAAATAGTGAGAGCATTGGGAGGCCGAGGCGGGTGGATCACGAGGTCAACAGATCGAGACCATCCTGGTCAACATGGTGAAACCCCGTCTCTACTAAAAATACAAAAAATTAGCTGGGCATGGTGGCGCGTGCCTGTAATCCCAGCTACTCAGGAGGCTGAGGCAGGAGAATTGCCTGAACCCAGGGGGCGGAGGTTGCAGTGAGCCGAGATTGTGCCATTGCACTCCAGCCTGGGTAACAAGAGCGAAACTCCATCTCAAAAAAAAAAAAAAAAAGAAATAGAGCAGGCATCTTGGTGTTAATTCTAATCTTAGGGGAAAAGCATCTTTTCTTTCACAATTAAATATGATGTTAATTGTAGATTTTTCAGGATGCACTTTATTGGGTTGAGTAAGTTTATTTCCATTCCTAGTTTGGGGAACGTAAAAAAAAATTAGGAATGGATTTTGAATTTTGTCAGTTTTTCTTACGTGTTTGTTGAGATGATCTTGTTTTTTTTGTTTGTTTGTTTTTTTAAGTTTTTTTATTAGCCAGGCGTGGTGGTGCACACCTGTAGTCCCAGTTACTCGGGAGGCTGAGGTGGGAGGATTGCTTGAACCTGGGTGGTGGAGGCTTCAGCGAGCTGAGATTGTGCCGTTGCACTCCAGCCTGGGTGACAGAGTGAGACCATGTCTCAAAAAAAATAAAAAAGTTTGTTAATATGGTGGTTTACATTGCCTGATTTTTAAAGGTTAATTCAACTCTATGTTTCTGAAATAAACCCACTTGGTTATGATACATATTTGGCTGCTTGATATTGCCCCACAGTTCACTGATGCTCTTTTTATTCTTTTTGTGTTCTTTTCTTTTCTTGTTTTATTTTTGGATAATTTCTCTTGGTATTTTCCCAAGTTCATGAATCTTTTCTTCTGCAGTGTCTAATCTATTGTTAATTCTATGTAGTATATGTTTATATTAGATATAGTTTTTATTTTAGAGGTTTGATTTAGATCTTTTTTATGTCTTCCATTACTCTTTTGGCTATGTGAATTGCATTTAGAATAACTTTTAGACTAGGGATGGTGGCTCATGCCTGTAATTCCATTACTTTGGGAGTCAGAGGCAGGAGAATTGCTTGAGCACAGGCATTCAGGACCAGCCTGGGCAACATAGTAAGACCTCATCTCTATTTAAAAATAATAATAATAATAACTTTTAATGTCCTTGTTTGCTAACATCTGTGTTGGTTTCAGTTAACTGATTGCTTTATTCATGTTTTTATGCCTCTTTGCATGTCTGGTTATCTTTAACTGAATGACAGACATTGTTGTGAATTTTACCTTTTTTGGAATGTTAGATATTCTTTTATTATCAGAAATACTGTTGAGTTTTGTTCTGGATATGTAGTTATTTAGAGACAATTTGAGGCTGGCTTTGACAATTTTTTTAGGAGGCCTGGAGTATCGCTCAATCCAGGGATAATTATTCCTCACTACTGAGGTAAGACCTTCATAAGTATTCTGCTCAATGTCCTGTGAGTTAAGAGCTTTTTCAGTTCGGCTGGTGGGAACAGGCAATATTCCTAAGTCTGCATGATTGTCTGTCACTGTTCTCTCAAAATCTTTCAGATGTTTTCCCCCAGCCTCCAGTAGTTGTCTCACACTTTGAATGAGTGGATCAGCACTGTGTGAGAGGCCCTGCTGCAGATCTCTGGGTTTTGTTCTCTGCATAGCCACCCTGCTTCTTTTGCGGGGATTAGACACCTTGGTCTTCATGGACTCTTAGCTATTGTGCTTCATCAACTCAAGTTAGTTCATTCATGCACCTAGCTCCACTTTGATTTCTTTCTCTTCCCTGGGCCTTAGCCTGAAAAGTCTCTAAAGGTTATGAGCTGGGACAATTGAAGGATATTGTTTGTTTCCTGTCTCTCTAGAATCACTGTTCTTTGTTGCTTGATGTCCAGTTTCTTGAGAATTGTTATTTTCTATATTATGTTCATTTTTGTTTTATTTTAAGTGAGGGGATAAATCTGGTTGTTACCGCATCCTGACCTCCATATACAGTGTATTTTTAACCCCATTCTTTTCTAAGTTTTTTTTCCCATTATTTTTGGTGAGAATTACAATTTCTTTATGTTTTAGCACTAGCTAATGCAAGTATCTATTATATACAAATTGTATTGGCAATTTTTTTTTCTAAAAAATTCCCCCCCAACCTATTATTCTGCATATATAATAATACCTAGGTTTTAAAAAGTATTTTATTTCCAATGCCATTTTCAATTGGCTAAAATAAACTACAGTACATACTAGTGGAGACTAATTATTGAACTGATGTGAAGAATACAGAAAAAGACTTAGAAATGTTTAGAGAATACATCCTGATGCAATCTGTTAGGAGTACAGTTATTTTAACTGTAAAGCTTGGCATTACTGGATGGGACACAGCTGTAGGATACTTAAGCCTTATTAGTGAATGTATAGGAAGAGGTGGAAATAAGAGATGAATTATGTGAAGAAGTTTTTAAGTCATGGAGGCTTACTGATAAAAGCAAATAAGTAGACCTAACAAGACAGAGGGGGCTCAGAAGAATGCAGTTGTTTCTTATAGACAGTAGTTGGAGCTAGGGCAGTGTAGCTTGTGATTTGCTTGAATAGAAAGAGTTGAATTGGGATAATTGGTTTTAAATCCTCTATTTACCACGTGCTAACTGGGTAAGTTTCTTGAAGTAAGTTTCTGATTTTGCATGTGTAAAATGAGGATAAATATATTTATCTCAAGGGTTGTAGTTAGCATTAAATAGAATCAATTACATAAAAGAATACAGCAGTATATTTATGTGCTTAATAAGTGTTTGTCTTTATTATTTTAAAAAATTACCAGAGAAAGCTTTACTTTTCTATTGCATATTTCCCTAAGTGATTATATGGACATAGAAGCAGTGCTTATAGTTACCTTGGAACCCATCAAAGAAAAAAAAAAATGAAGCAACTTCCTACTCTGTTGCCCTCTTGGAACATTTCATAGTTTGGATGAAAATCAGCTGAAACATTGTTAGTCTTTATTAGCATAAGACTATGTTAGAAAATGGTGGTCATGAGAGGGCTCTGAAGGAGAGTTCTTTATTTTTTATTTTATTTTATTTTTTTTGAGACAGAGTCTCACTTCGTCACCAGGCACCAGGCTGGAGTGCAGTGGTGTGACCTCGGCTCAATGCAGCATCCGCCTCCCAGGTTCAAGCAATTCTCCTGCCTCAGCCTCCCAAGTAGCTGCCACCATGCCCGGCTAATTTTTGTATTTTTAGTAGAAACGGAGTCTCACCATGTTGGCCAGGCTGGTTTCGAACTTCTGACTTCAGGTGATCCTCCCGCCTTGGCCTCCCAAAGTGCTGGGATTACACGTGTAAGCCACCACACCCATGCCCAGCCTTGAATTATATTAAGAAGGTTGGGGCTGGGCATGGTCTGGGTCGAGCAGTCTCCCATCTTGGCCTCCTGAAGTGCTGGGATGACAGGAGCAAGCTACCTCACCCAGCCTGGGCTGTGTTTTGGATCTCACTATGTAGGTGCTCTGTAGTAGAGGAAACAGTAATATATGATAATGAAAAGCTTCGAAGTAGACATATGGCTGAAAGGGAGATTTGAATAGGGTTTTGCAGCAGCTATTTTAGTTGATGATACATCTTTAATTTAAATTGCAACTGCCTTTTTTCATTTTGCTTCATTCTTCTGTGATGATCTAGTAGAAGTTAAATGAGATCATTTTGATAGTTGGTTTGCAGGCTTTGGTGTATGCTCCCAACCTTTCAAAGCCTGCCTGTGCTTTTTAGGGCGCTCAGTTTGTGACTGAAAGGATCAGTTATTCTCTTCTACCTTTTTAATGCACTGCTGGTTTCTAGCAGCTGCTGCTTAACACTGTTCATTCTTGAGTTTGGTGAATTGTTTTCTGTGCTCCATGTGATTTCTTTGTTTTTATGAGGTATTTTTTGACTACAGGTGAGCCAGTTTCCTGGGAATATAATCTATGTTTGAAATTAAATTATCTTTATCCTCTTTAAATATGTAAATCCTCTTATTATCTTCTAGTTTGCCTCTTGCTTTGTGACTTCTTGTGTTTCTCTTGTAATGCTTGCTTAGCTTTTGATTTAAATACCAGACTGTGTTGGTTTGCATCCATAGAAGACATAGGCCTATTCATATATTAGGAAAGTGTGAATATTTGGCCACCATATTTAGGATTATTGGGGCATTTCTTTACAACTTTATAGAATACAGAAAAAGAGGTGAGTTTTCTGTTCCTTCCTAATTAAGTTCACCATCGACCTTGTACTTTTTGAACCAGCTTGAAAAGTAAAAACAACATGAATAATAATATATTTACTATTTCTACATGGATATACTGACTGTATCTATGGAAAATATATTTGATTAGTTATGTGAAGCTCTCAAGGGTAAATGTGTCAGGTATAGTCAATATTTTAGTATTGTCATGTATTACTATTTTTCCATAAATGATTAGAAAGTTATTTATGATTTTTTATTTTTCAGCTAAATATTATGAAAATTTCAATACTGTTGCTTTTTTTTTGATAGCCAGAGGAAGTTAGAGAACAGATTTATCAACATTAAACAGTCACTGGCAAGAACCATTTCTTTGTAACATGTTGCTTTGCTCCTTAAACTCTTTCTCTGCCAACCTGTAACAAAGGTGAATATGAAGCAAGTGTACAGTATACTAGCTTTCTTTAATTTTCTGGGATGTATCTCTTTTACTCTCCATGTATAAAATCTTAGGGAATCTTAAAGCTTTCTTTATTATCCTTCTTTATTTCTTCCCAAGGAAGTATTGATGTTTTTGTAGGAATCTCTGCTATCCAGGGATAAAAGTAAAAACATACAATTAAAAAAATTTCAGCCATTGAGGATTAAAAAAAAAATGAATAGATCAGTTACTTAAAAAGTACTATCCAGGGATAAAAGTAAAAACATACAATTAAAAAAATTTCAGCCATTGAGGATTAAAAAAAAAATGAATAGATCAGTTACTTAAAAAGTACTATAGATAAAAAAAAAAAATTACCTATTTGAATAAATAATTGTCCAGGAAATTAACTGTTGATCATGTTTAAAATATAATGGAAAAATGAGTCTTAAAATGTGTATAACTTCATTTGTGTTGATTCATGTTATAACTTTTTTTTAGTAAAATGCAACATTAGACAATGTGTTTGGATTCTGTGTTTTGTTTATTGGTATCACACATATATGTCATGTGGGTCAAGACTTGTTTCATAGTAAAACAGATGGCGTGGCAAGGGAGAAGAAACCTAAAATGCAAGTTTTTGCACATACACTAAAGAAATTCTGTGCACTTTCTTTTCAAAAAACATTAAAAACTCCAAAACCCAAGGAAGAAAAAGCTTCTTGCATTTATCCAACAATTCTTATCTATTAGTTGCAGGACAAAAATAATAAAATATTAATTATATAGTCAAAAAATAGCTTTTAACTATGAAGAAGTCTTTTTATCAAATTCTTCTGTTCATTAGACCTACTTTTGGTTATTATTTAAATGTAACTGGGCAGTTCCAAGAAAAGCTTCAGAACAGCTGTAATTACAGCTGCAGATTTAGTCAAAATAGGGGCTGTAAAAGGGCCTTTCCTCTCCTTTTGAGTCTGTTTCACCCCCTCCCAAAATAACCCAAATTTAGTTGTAAAAGTTTTTGGTAAGCTCAGGATTTCTGAAACTGGAGTGCCATGTGTTTAACTGCATGCAGATGTGATGATTACATGTGGCTTTTAAGGTTCCTATAACCTTTTAGTTCTTCTATTGCTCTATGCAGTTAAGTGATTTTTTTTTCAGCTGTGTTAGTATTGAATTTTACAGATACATATGTATTTTAAACACAGTTTAATGATTTTTATCAAGGCCCAGGCATCAGCTCAAACTACTGAGAGGAGTGATAGTTTTAAATCTAAATTTCAGCTAATATTGACATTATTACAAGTTGACTGGAAACATTTACAAAAGGCTGTATCTGTGTTTAAAAAAATTCTTTAAATTTTACTCTACTAGGAAATTGCCTTTGACCTCATCTAAAAACAAATTTGTCAAATCTCTTAATTTTTAGAGAAAGACCTATTATGATAAATCAAAAACTAAATACACATCTATGTCATATCTCTCCCTGTCCCCAGAGCTTTGAACTCAGGAGTTGATGGCATTCTAAGGTCTGTTTTTTAGTTAATCAGTCAGGTATATGGAAGACTGTGGCTAAGAACAAGAATGAGCCTTTTTCCCTTTCCCAGTTAATTGCCATTTCTTTTGCAGATGGCAGTTATGCTGAATGTTGATCATAAGATATAATAACATATCTTGGATTCTTACTACAGTTTTACAGTGTTATCTACTCAGAATCTGGTTCATAATTGTAGTGACTTGTTGAATCACACATAGGGAAATTTGAAGAGCCTTCTGCTAAAGCCAGCGATTTAACACTTTTAGTTAGAAACCAAGTGAAACTTGCCTATATTTGCATAGTACCATATTAAAAGTGGTAAGTGTATAAAATTGTGTAGGACATGGTTCTCACTTCAAAGTACAGTGGGTAGACAAGTTGCAAATGTATGCATTAAAATAATAATAAAAATAATGCATTAAAATAATAATGATTACAGGGTAAATAAACCTAGCTTTAAATCCCCAGACTCAACATTTCTTTAAATCTTAAATTCTAAAGATTGAGACCAACTTTCTTACACATGAGGAAACAGAT